GGAAGGGCGCCCTCGCTCGTCCTATTAGTTGCTGTGCAGGCCCGCTCTACACTTTCTCTTGATCGAGGGAAGCGTACGTTTCTCGCGAGCGTACCAGTGTTATATAAAACGTAGCGTCGCGACGATGGCTGAATATCATCGAAAAAGAAGTTCCGTTTCCACGTACTTCAAGCCATCGTGGGAATCGGACTACTTCTTCATAGAGCACGAAGGCGTGCCGACCTGTTTGATATGCGGGAAAAAATTGCACCAAGTGAAAAAGTACAATCTGCAACGACATTTTCAGTCTATGCACGGACATCATGCGCAATTAGCTGGTGAAGAACGCGAAGCAGAAGTCGCGCAGTTGAAGCAGAAATTCGTGGAAGCGGAAGTGGAGGAAGTGAGTTACCTTGATTCTTTTATTATCGTAGAAAAAGAACGCGACGAGTGAACGTTTTGTTGTTCTCGTAGGAAACGGTGTCGTCGTGTAGCGAGGCAGCCGTGCGAGCGAGCTTCGGAATTGCTCTTGAAATCGCGAGATCGTCGCGCAGCTACACGGACGGTGATGTTGTGAAGAAATATTTGGTGAACGCCGCGGGTCAATTGTGCCCGACAGAAGTACAGACATTCGAAGCTATCAGTTTATCGAGAATGACCATTGCTCGTCGAATTCAGTCAATGGCCAGCAATGTTATGGACCAGTTAAGACAGTTGTGTGCTACTTTCACTGTGTATTCTTTAGCCATCGATGAGGGCAGTGATATATCAGGCACACCGCAAATAGCCATTTTTATTCGTGGTGTGAACAATAATTTACAAGTGACAGAGGAATTGTTGGATCTGGTACCATTGAGGGATGGCGTATCCGGGGAGGACATCTTTTCCTGTGTCGAGGAAATAATAGAAACCAACCAATTGGACTGGCATAAACTCATCTCTGTGGCGACCGATGGATCTCCAGCCATGGCTGATAACAATAATGGTTTTGTTGGTCGCCTCAGGAAGAAGTTAAATGAATTAGGCAGCGCGAAGAAGTTGATCGGAGTGCACTGCCTCATTCACAGACAGAATTTATGCTCGAAGAATGTGGAAATGTCAAATGTAATGTCTGTGATTGTCCGTGTTACTAATTACATTAGAAATCATGGTGTAAAAAGACGACAGTTTCGTGCGTTCCTGGAAGAATTAGATTCAGAGTATGCAGACTTGCCATATTATACAGAGGTCAGATGGCTAAGCCGGGGGAAGTTATTGGAACAATTCTATAATCTTCGAAGCGAGATAGCCACGTTTATGGAAGCAATGCAAAATCCTGTACCAGAATTGAAGGATAATGAATGGCTAATTGATTTGGCATTTTTGACCGATTTAGTTCATCACTTGAATATGCTGAATCAATCATTGCAACGGAAAGGTATGCTCATAGTAGAATTATACGACACTATTCAAGCATTTCAAATGAAAATACAACTATGGATAGGACAATTACAAATTGGAAATGCTTGTCATTTTCCAAAATTGAAAGCTGCTGCAGCAAATCAAAGTTGTTTCACAAAATATTGCTCAGTTTTAGATTTACTTGAACAAGAATTTAACAGTAGGTTTAAGGACCTTCAAAGTTTAAATACAGAGTTTAATATATTTGCTACCCCATTTTCAGTTAACTTGGACACAGTTCCACCAGAAATGCAGCTCGAGTTGATTGACTTAAAATGTGATAGAATGTTAAAAACTAAGTTCAATCAAGCAGAATCTTTGATGCATTTTTATACAAGTTTTTCACATATTCGTTTTCCACTGTTGTACATTTTGGCAGGTAAAATATTATGTATGTTTGGGTCCACCTATGTCTGTGAACAGTTATTTTCAAATATGAAAAAAACAAAATCTATTCACAGGACAGGATTAACTAATTATAATTTAAAGTGTTCATTGATATTGAGCTCGTGCCAATCAATTGTTCCAGATATTAGTCTATTAATGGAGCAAAAAAGACTACAGACATCATCTAGACGACTGTTCAGTACAGAATAGCTGGCTTATTTTTAACAATACATTGTCATAAGTTTGATGTAATAGTATTTTCTGTTATGTTTACCATCATTTGTTAACTTTTGTTAATCTTGAATATTTTACTGTTCTGAAAAGTTTTGAAAATTTTATTTTTAAACATAATGTTGTGAATCTTTCAAAGAATTATTATGTTTGTTATAATATGTACAGTATCCTTCAATTTTGGTACATAACATTTTACATGGTTACAGAATGTGATTGCTTGTTTAGAATAAAATTTATCAAATATTTTCGATACCATTAGATATAAACTGAATTCAATCTCTTTTTATATAAATCCATGATTTCTAATATTATTTCTAACTCATACAATTAACTGTTTCGATATTTTTTATTGCATCCTTCTAGTTGGTACTACATTTAATAATTCATTTATCACATTCGATTATTGTTTACATCACAAATAAAAATTATTATTTGCAGTGTACTCTTATTAGGGATACTACAAAAGATACAATAATTGTTCAGAAGCAAGTGTTTTTGCTCAAACAGTATCATATTTAAAAGTTTGTAAGTAAAAGCAAAGGCAAAATTCCTTTTACTTTCAAACTATATATATATATAAATATACATATATAGTACTTATATTTTAAGACATACCTTTGTATCTTTTGTAGTATCTATTATTATTAAGGTTGTATATAGTATTTATATTTGAGTGCTTATTTTTCATATCTGTTTTGCATTTACTTTTTATATGTAAAGATACATATTATTTTTAATTATGCTCATTAGTTCCTAATCATATAAAACTCATGTAAATATCGTCGCATTCCAAACGTAATAAGTATACAAAATGTACAAAATGCAACATATCAAGAAACTGTAAATATTGTACTGTACGTAAGCATTTATCAGTTATAAAAGCGTACTTGTCCTGTATATTATATTATTAATAAGTAAGCGCTAATATTACGTAAAATTTGTATAATTTTCATCCTACTAGAATAAATAATGATACAAATTATTCATCTTAATATTGCTGTTTACTTCATTTCAATTCTTCTAATTTCAGTTTAAAATTAAAAAATATAAAAACAATTCTGTTCAGTTGTTTATCAGAAACCTTATCATCCCAAAAAACTGAACTTACTTTCTTAATATTATGAATCTCTCTGTATATAATTTTAGACATAAACTGGGGATGACCATCAGGATAATCTCTGAGTAATATGACCCACTGTAACTTGAACCAAGACAGTGACACGACATGCCGCCGTATTAAGCTGGCTACACAACTGTTCGATTACTTTCTTTAATTTTATAATTACTATATGACTTAAACAATTAAATTATATTAAATAATATTTTCCTCCAATCTTATATATGTAACTATGATAGAATTGTGTTTACTATATTGTAATTTATTTGAAAGGAATCAGTGATCGAACAAGACGTTGTGACTACTGCTTAAAGCAACACGTTTCGTTACTTAGGTTTGTTTGGGTTTCAATGTATCATGTTACTCGAGGAGATTGCCCTCGTATCTCCGACCTAAACGATCAATACCAAAGGTATTTAACGTAAAAATTTATCAATTGTTTTTTAAATAAAATTCATGGTGAAAGAAAGCAATGATACAAAGCCAGAGCTACTTTTCCATTTTAGTTTCTGACGTCACCAAGCTCTGCCCGCGGGCAAGGTAGGACTGCCGATCGAAGAGCAACTCTTTTGAGCTTGCTCTACAGCATCTGATGCTTTTAATAGAATACAAAATCGATATAATTTCAACGCTGGAATGAAAATGAACTGAAATTAAAATTTTTGCATCAAAATGGGAATATTCCTGTGCCCTAATTTGGCGGGAAATTTGAGTGAAAATTTCCTTCAAAGGTATAAGCATATTAAGAGTATTATTTAGGGTTCCATAAGATAAGAGTTTGGAGATGCTGATAAGATAAACAGAACTGTAGCATTGAAACGAGTAACGGGTCAGATAATATGTTGCAAGTTCCAGTGATGCAGTGATGGGCATCGGGGCAGTAACGCGATACGTTTCGATCCAAATAAACCAGTTCAAGACCAGAGATAGCGCCTTAAGTCGACTACACACGTTCCAGTCTGATCCAGATTACGTTACTGCCCCGATGCCCATCGCTGACACTGGTGAATCATAATACTTGGAATTGATAGCGCTATGCGTGTATGCCGCTCCATGTAACTGAACCTTAGGCATTTTGGGTCCTACTTGACCTGAGCGAAGGATATTGGTGACGCCATGAAATCTTACAGACTTCCCTTCACAACATGCTTTCTCACTCTTCCCTTCACAAAGCTTTCTCCAGAATTTGCTCCCATATAAATGCAAATCATCATTCAAGAAAATTATAATTAAAAATAATGATAAAGTACATACCATAGACCTATCGCCTGGCTCCGCTTTTCCATACATTCTTAAGCAACTTAAACCAACGCGCAATGCCTGAGCCCAGAAACCTATCCAATCGTCATGCTGTTGATTCGATGTTAATTCCCTAGCTATTCTAGTAAACAGCAGGCAATATAATGCTCCAGAAGTGCCACCCATTTGTTGTTCGGCTATATAAGCCAATTCGATAAAAACTGACGACGGATGTGACATATGGAAGTGGTCCAAATTTTGCAATATATCTAAAAAGAATGCGTGTAAGAAATGTGATTCTTTTCCAAGAGAAATAAAATATTTTGAAAATATGGATATGTACCAGCAGCGAGTCTTTTAAGGGTAGAACCGCAATCCCCATCTCCACAACCTCTGTCCAAATCATTAATATGAGTCTCTTTCTCGATCAAACTTTTGCAACTACTTTGTAAACATTGTTTGAATAACATCTGTTGTCTTGAATTGAGCTCAACTCCAACCTTCTCTATTTTTCTTGATACTTTGTCTTGAACAACTGGTGGAGAATTTGAGGGAACACTGTAAACGCAACCGGGCCATTTTGGTGCATTGGTTGGCTCGTCCAGGTAGTCGAGGAAGACCTTGTTGTCCGAGGATATTTTTAAAAGAGTAATATGCACTCCAGCGCTGTTCAATGACGTCATTAAGACCCCCGAATACACACGTAGGGGTTCTATGTTCATGTTTCCTATATAAAGAAAAAGATGATATTTTTTAAATAATTAGGGAGCCGGCTATATGAAGCATCCTGTACTTACGAAGCTGCTTAACTACGTCATGGACAACGATTCCCTGTTCCAATTGGCTTAATGCACCAAAATTATTTACGATAACCGCAACTGAATCACCACCTTGCAAAGACAGCGAGGTGCAAATACATTTCAACATAAATGCAACGACTTCGCTACAGGATTTTAATTTAAGCTTCTCGTATCCTGCTTCGCCGTGAACCCCCATACCGCATTCTATCTCGTCTTCCGGTAGGTCAAACATCAGTGGTTGTCCTGATAAGTTTAATTAGATAATGTGTACTCTAAGCGATTTGTTGTTTTTATCAACGCATACCAGGGATTGCACAAGCGGTTAATCCAACCGCATAGGTGGCCATATTTTGGAGAACAACTTGTGCAGTTTTATAGACTTCTTTCAGTGGTGACCCTTTCTCAGCCATCGCGCCAGCTATTTTAATAACGAACAGCATTCCAGTTAAACCACGTTTACCAGCTACACCTTGTTCCTCGCTTGGTATACTGCAGTCATCGTTTACAACTAAGTCCTCCACCTGAAACGTGAAGCATTAGAAATATTTCCAAACTTGGTTTGTATTTGAAGCTAACCTCTACACCTGTTTGCCTCGCTTTCTCGATTGCTATTCCAAAATTTAGTCGGTCGCCAGTATAATTTGGGATTACCATTAAAATTCCACCTGAAAGTATTCGTAATCAGTTTATTGTTCAAAACGTGTTGTCTAGGATTCAAACGTGGCGCGCCGGAAGTCACCTGAGGTAACACAGGTTCCCCGGAAGCTGAGCGTCTAATCCGAAACGTGATAAGCGTCAGAAATAAAAAAGTTTGAAATGTTATATTCTGTTAGTAATATATGACATGTAATTACTTCTACAATAAATGTTGAACTATTTTAATATTATAAATAAAAAAGTTTAATTACCATTACTGTGTTCGGAAACACGTTCGATAGCGTAACTAATATGTTGAGATGGCGGAGCAGCGAATATGGAGCCCGCCACTGATGCTGTCAACATGCCATTTCCAACGAAACCTAGAAGAAAATGTCGCAGATTATTTCATTCATTGCTTCCGCCACTGGGTTTTGGGAAATCTAGGGGAAACCGAAGAAGCTCTAGGAACAGTCTAGGTGGATTTACCAATCACCTGCGGCAAAAGGTTCGTGTCCACTTCCGCCTCCACATATGATAGATACTTTGCCTTTCCGATCCTGGAGCTAAAATATTATATTTCTGAATAAATTGATTTCCACAGAAAAAAGTATAATATCGTAATTTAAGCACTGATAATGTAATGCATTGATAGATGTATAAGGTTATGTACAAACCCTTGGCATTAAAACCACTTTATGTGACACTTGATACTCTAATTGCGGATAAGCATAATTCAGACCATATAGCGTTTCCGTGACACTATCGTTAATCGAATTCACTAAACTTTTCATTGTTTTCGTTAAGAGCAATTTATAAATTAAACGAAAGTGTAGTTAGACGTACTGAGAATGAAAATCGTTTAAGATTAATCGTGACTCGGAGGAAGTCATAGGTTATCGCTAACTTAGAGAACCTAATAAAAATTGTAGTTATACATATTCAGTACTAATACAAGTCAAGTACATAAATAGAGAGCTGTTAAGTAATATACCAGTACTGTATGCATAATAGTATCGCAAGTACCATGTCTCTATGATCTATAGATGCAAGTTGCTTGTGGTAAGCGATAAAAAGTTGTCTTATCGCTAGAAATAAACATGTACATGTTATAATAATAAAAACAAACAATATTATATGTCGTTATTTGAAGATATGCGCTGTAGAAATGACGTTACAAAAAAGGCGGGATCATTCCGATACATAACCAGAACGGTTAGCATACGAGGGTTCGTGAACTGATGCAGTCATAGTATTATAATTAAATATTTATCTTAACTACCTCTTTTAATGCGTTTCTCTTCATAATGGAAAATTTTGTCTCCAAAACAATACATTTTTGATTTTTGATAACTAGTCGGTTAAGACGAAAGTACAATAATTCAAACTGGCACTTACTTTCGAATACTAGTTAACGTTGATTATCGATCGATGGTCGGTATATCGAAGCTTCGATAGTATTTCGATATTATAGAGCGCCTTATTTAAACGTAGGGAGACCTCAAACTTTGAATCTACAGATTTAAACTTTAAAGCCCAAGGTCAAGTCTCAAAATTCCAAAACCATGAAATCCCAAAGTACCAAAATTTCATAATTTACAAATTTAAAAATCTCTTAATTTTAAAACTCCAATGTCCCACTCTCTCACGCAGCACTCTTTCCGGAAAGAAGCTACTTAAAAATATTGCCATACTATCTTTAAATATTTTATATTTTAATATCCACCGTAATCCACTGGCGGATTTCGATCCAAAGTTCGGTAATTTTTGAAATAACAAAAATGGACATTGTCCACCTCAGATCTTTTTTGACTATGTTTGTACATTCAAAATGGCGACGTGTTTAGCGAGTATTTCGTTTCTGAAATAGGTTAACCGATAAAAGTTGAGGTATATCAAGAAAAGTATTAAGATAATTTGATTTGTCAATGTTATAGAAAAATATTATGACTGCGTTGAAATAATTCAAGTCAATGAAACGCGGTTTAATGTTCGATTAATCGCAGGAAACTTAGATAATGGCTGAAAATGTTGTTCAGTGTGATGAGTTGATACGTTCTATCAAAACACTGCTTTGGGGTAGTTCTGTCAAAGAAGATGTGTTCAAACGATGGGCGCAAGGTAGGTCGTTTATTTTTTCATTAATTTATTGATAACTTTGTAATTAAGTTCGTATTCTCGATTCTCTATTTGCTGCCATTTCATTAATACTTTAATCAGTTATTGATCACATCTGTTTTGAATGAATATTGGTCTTAGTATTAAAGAAACAGATTCTTATTTCAGAGATAAACAATATATGAGTTTTTAAGTTGAATATAATTAATGATGTTAGATGTTAATATTGTAACTTAGTTGATGGAAGTATACATTCCATGAGAGCAAGATCAACACCATAATGCTTTAAGTGAGATGGATATATGTATGCGTCTAAACAGAATTGTGATAGTAATTTGCAGTTTGGTATATAAGTTTGACAAATATTATGCTATGTTATTGAATAATAGTTTGAGTCTACACAGTATCAAATTTTGGAACACCTGATCTAAAGGATAAAATCCTTCTTGTATCAGTGGTAATGTACTATTAAAGTTTGAAGTAAAAGTGTAGCGAGTATTTGCGAATGTTACATTTTCTTTAACATATTAACAACTCAATATGTTTGTGTTGCAACTATATGTGAATATTTTGAGCACACCTATATGTTAACTTGGAGAGAATTAACTTCTTTCCCATATTGAAATAAGAGATATTGTTGGTTTAGATGATAGTGCTAAGTAGAAATGGTCAAAGAACCAAGTTCACAAGAAAGATTGTTTTAGACAGATAAATGAAAAAGAACTAGCAATATTTCAATCTTTTCACATTATTCATTTTTATTGTTTCAGGATTTTATTTTAGCCCGGATGAACCTACAGCATTGATACAAGAAAAAGGTGGTCCATGTGCTATTATAGCTCCTGTCCAGGCATTTATTTTGAAAGTGTTACTTTCTGAATGTGATATTTCAATCTGGAGAAATATTAACCAGGACAAATGCTACCAACTTCTTGTGCAAGCTTCTGTTGAAATTTTAAAACAAGCTGCAGGAGAAAAGGTCCCAAAGTTCTTAATTGTGTACATGGATTGTAAATTATCAAACAAGAACAATGAGGAAAAGAGTAGACTGTCTGAGAATACATCACAAACTGAACAGGAGGAGAAAAAAAATGTAGAAAATAAGGAGAGCCAGGAGGAAAATGAAGAATTGTTAATGAAGGAAGTGAACGAGGAATGTACCAATGTGGAATCTGATTCTTTCCACTCCCAATTGAGGTAAAAGAAAGTCATTAAATTATTCAAATAGTTACTTACAAATTTTATAAATAATTATGGTCATGTTTAGCATGCAAAACAAACATAGGTAATGGCAGAAGTAACTGTAAGCATTTCTTGGATGAGGGGTAACAAAAAATTTATATAGGGATAATGTCCAAGATGGCGTAAAATAATGCATAAAGATATAAATTATGAAATATGGAAATGAGTTTTTAAATGTATCATAAGAATAAATAACATTTTAGGTTATTTACAACAAACACCTCGGAACAAGTAGAAGAATTTTTTTCCGAAAAATTGGAAATGTTGAAAGCCAAATATGGTGTCTTATTACTTCTTTATAGTGTAATTGGTACAAAGGGTATCACTGAAATTCGTTCTGAAATGTCAGATCCTTCAGAGTCAATGATTGATTCCACATATGGTTATGGAAATCAAAGTCTCATAAATTTGATGCTCACAGGCAGAGCAGTCAGCCATGTATGGGACCATGATCAAGATATTGGAGGCCTCAGTAAGACATTTATTATAATATATATTCAGTATAAAACACATGATTTAAATGTACACTGCTGAAACAAATTCAGAAATGTGTCAAAGTTTCATAAAAAAAGCTTTTTATCAGGTGTATTTCATCAGAATTTTTAAGGTCATCAATGTTTGTTAAATGATGCTGTATAAGTTTTTGATAAAGTCAATGAGTATTTGAAGACAAATTCAGTAATAATGTTTATGCGTTACTCAGTTACATGTCTAGGGAGATATTTAATATAAATATCAGTAGTTTTCCTTAATTAATGATATGTGACTGACCTCTCACATTATGTAATGGATTTGAGAAACAGTTATTATTGGTCAAGCAAAAATCCTGAATGATTCAAAATAATGAAACAAAAGCTGTAGGGTAATAATGTTTGGTGTGGGATACTTTGCAATCAGATTGTTGGTCCTCATGTTAAATTAATAGAATATAGTTTTGTGTTGAAAATTTTACCAGTACTATCTAATCAAGATGAATATACAAGTTACGCGACGTGGTTCCAACAAAATGGTTGCACAATACATAGTGTTTGAATTATAAGAATAACCATAAACAAAAGATTTAGTTAGTAATGGATCAGTATTCATGGATTTGTAATTTGACTGTGTTATCACATGTTGAGCTGCTGCTATTTAGCGACTGAAAAGTTGCATTGACGTTGCTGGCCGTTTGTAAATAAACATTACAAAGTATTATGAACATCAGGATAACCCTGCTCCAGACATCAACTTCCCTGAACGTCATGTTAAATATCTTCCTACACACGTAAGTAAATAGTATGTATGTAAATTACATCACTGAATTTGTCTCGAGGTGCTCTCTCATCTAGGTATTCCAAATTGTGTCATAAGAACACACTGATGACCTTGAAAATTCGAAACTATAACCTTGAGAAAAATGTTCTTGCTGGTGTTGTATTACTTTTTCAAAACAAAGCAACTTTCATCTTTATTCTCCTATCAGTAATACTTTCACGCTGTTATACATTTTTCCTTAAGCATCAATTTATGAGCTGTATAAGTCAACTGAGATTCACTACATTGTTAGTTAGCATTCAAATAAATATTGATTTCAGAATTGCGAGGAATAGATAAGCAAAATACTATAGGTTTTCTTGCACTTCTGGAACATTTATGTTACTGTGAAGTAGGCACATTCTTGAAGTCACCATCGTATCCTATTTGGGTATTGGGTTCAGAGACTCATTTAACTGTACTATTTTCTGACGAGAAAAGGCTAGTAAGCCCTGAAACACCTGCAGATCAGGCAAAAAGGATTTTCAGAAAATTCGATCCTGAAGGAAATAATTTTATTCCTGCTAATTTGCTTCAGGATGTTCTTGCTGAACTTGGATTAGTCACAGATCCTGAGTAGTAAGTATTGCTTTGAATAACAGTAATATTTGTATTGAGACTTTTTACATTATGTTTGAAAACCTTTTTATTGTAGCGTTAATGTAATGAGGAAAAAGTTAGATAATGAAAACTTGGGAATTATTTTACGTAGTTATTTTATGGATGAATTCTTTCCTGAAAAACCTCGGACTTGTCCAGACACGTTCCCCTTGTATCATTATAATGGACTTCGGCACAGTAACCCAAACAACAAAGTGATGTATCATAAAGGACAAGCGGTTTTATTAGAATGTACTATTAAGGCAATCATGGAAAGTAATCCAATGTTAACGGTACTTCAAACAAAATGGCCCAGAATTGAAATTCAGTGGGATATTGGACAAAATCCGAGCCTCAATTAAATTAGTTTGCTTGGATTTGATTTGTGAGAACATTGTTAGAGTTCCTATGTAAGGAAACAAAGGAAAACGTAATAAAACAATTTAAAGAACGAGAGATAAGTAATTTAAACATAATCAGAGAAAGGTTGTTTGCGTTTTTAAGAAAACGTGGAACTAATTTTCCATAGAAAAAAGGATTTGTCGAAGCTTTTGAATAACAGATAGAATTTTATTTATTGTTTGATAAAAATATTGAAACACCATTAATCTAATACTATAAAAGATTAAGTAATTGATCCAAATGATCACCGAATTTGTTCTTTTAGCTTTTAAAAAGTTTGCAATTAGTTTTGCAAACTATTGTATGTGCAACATATTTTAGGGTTTTGTAACGAACTTCGTTGCATAATATTGTGAGCTAATTTCCATTTCACGAAATTTACATTCGATTCTGAACTTCAGGTCGAACTTACTAATTCTACTAAAAGAAGGAAGCGATGTTAAACGATAATTATGAAACAAAAACAATTCGAACATGAAATGTAAGAAACATAGTCACAAAAAAGAGGTGAATGGAAATAAAATGTTTAATAAAATATGTACAAATCTACGAAGATTGTATTCGTAGTTAAATGTATACGTTACTTTAAAATTGTAGTCTAGTCACCTTATCGGCATTTCAATAATTTTGTGCTTTTGTTTTTTATATCAAAAATGAAGTGTTCAGAGTAAGTTTTGTATTTTTTTTATAATCAGCAACACTAGCAAATGTTCCAGTTATTTCTTTACTGTCAGTGTCTTACAATGTATAAAAGAACTTTTTAACCATCGGCAAATTTGTCATTATAAAGATATACGCATAAAATAACTACCACTCATTTTGTTATTGTTAATAACACACATCTATGGAAAAACCAATAATAAAGTAATTTCACGAAAATACTGTTTAGTTTTGAAACAGGATAAGGAAACACATTTCATTTTAATTTATTTAATAACTTGTACAATTAATTTAATAAGTTACATGTGCAATTTCTTTTCTACCGTTTCTTGCATATGGCGCGGGATTGGGGATACACTTTGTGTATTTACATCTAATATAAAAATGGATTAGTAATATTATTGAGCGAGCAAGCCGAAGGCGAGCGAAGCTCTTATACTTGACT